AATAGAAATGTAAAGAAAGACTTACCGGTCTTTGCAGTGAGGGTAACGCCGTGAAGTTTTGGGTCAAAGGCTTGCGTCAGACTCAGGGATATTGTGAAGGCTTGGCCTCGCCTCACAATCAGCCGATCCTTCGACGCTTCGATGGTGCGGTGTTCCGAGTTGTTGGTCTTAACCTGGAGATCCACTCCACTAAAAACTGAGATAAAGAACATACAAACATGAACTGGAGGTAGAATCTGTGTACATCAGGTTAATAAATTAGGTACAACAATTCTAAAAAGCACATCTGAAAGCAGTATTGCTCACATCCACTTGTTATGTAGAGCATGTGACAGCGAAAGAAATCAAAGTTCTTGTTGATTCTCAGCAATAAAAAATGCTTCACCAAGTCAGACTGATAATCCAAGAGACCCAACCCATGAATAATCAAAGAAAATAGAAGGATGGATGGATAGAACCAGACGGCGGTCTTTCCTTTCAGAACCTCCTTATACTACCACAGAGACTTCTCCATCCTCTCTTGAACTCACATTGCCTTCACGCTGGAACCAAAAGCTCAAATTGAAGAGCCTCTGGACCACCACGGTCCTCCACCACACTGATGTCTGGTTTAAAGGATTCTGGAGGTAAAAAAGCCCTCCATCCCCAAAGAGCCCTTTCTCCTGCATGGACGCACTGAGATTCTCCGTTTGTGTCACATCATTTAGCAACACCTGAACATAGAGGTCTACCATGAAAGAAGCAGTTGTACTTACGAGAACGATTTCCTTCTTCCATGTTGCGTGAGTTTTTCTTCTTACAGTGTAAGTACAGTAACAAGCACTCAGCAGCTCACTGACAGGTGAACCAAACCCAGCGGTATTTATAACACCTGTCACGCCCACCTCCATCTCATATTAATGCGGAATGCATCTTGCAAACCTGGATTAACTGTTTCGTGCAAGTTTCAATGCTGTAACTACTTTTGCTGGCCTCTTAGGAATGTTCACGACTACACTGAGTTTGCAAGAAGGGAGTTAGTTGTAGTGGATGTTTCATGTGACTGTAGATTATACGGGCTTCTGTGTGCTACTTTTAATACATGCTCCGATACCGTGGCATGTAAACACCTCACCCAGGTTTTTAGGTGTTTCCTCAGTTCAAATCAGTTCAGCTGGGAGTTGCTTCTTATGCAACCACAGATGTTTATGCATGTCTTTGAAGGTCAGCCACAATGAAATGTATTGTTCCAATCCTCTTTGATTG